TTTTACTTAAAACTACTAAATATTTCCAAGCAAAATTAGACTTTAATTTAAGCCCTGCATTTAACTGCCAAATTTTAAAGCCAAAATAGCTTTTGAATGAAGATTATTTTTTTCTCCCAAAACTTGTCTGTTCTTCATTTTTCTTTTTTTTTGTTGTTGTTTTTTCCCAGTACCAGGAATCTAACTCAAGACATTGCACTTGCTAGGCAGGCGCTGTGCTGCTGAGCTAAATCCCCAGGCCTTTGTTTTTTTTTTTTTTTCTGATACCAGGAATCAAACTCAGGGCCTTGCACTTGCCAGGCAGGTGCTTGTGCTGCTGAGCTATATCTCTGGCCCCGTTTTTCTTAATAGATATTGAAGTTTTTTGCTGTGGTGAATAAACTATTGCCAACTGCCCTAAAAGAAATGACCCATATAACACTTTTATAAGGATTCCACAGAAGTCAGCTGGAAACACTTGAGAATTTTTAATGAGACTATGAAATTCTATAACCTTTAGGGTGTTGCCTTCAATTCCTTCTGTTGTTACCATTATTTCAGCAGAGAAACAAATGCTATGTTCTTTTTCCAGTTCAATTCACAAAGCCAGGAAATAAAGGGCTTGTGGTACATGTGCTTGTAATCCTAGCACTTAGAAGGCTGAAGAAGGAGGATCACAAGTTTGAGGCCAGCCTGGTCTACTTAGTGAGACCCTGTCATAAATACACAGTCTCAAATAAATTCATTTTCTTTGGCCACAGATTAGTTATTTTAGGTAAGCATGCTACCTTAAGACAATAGTTTGCTAAGCTAAGCAACAGCTTTTCTATCTACTTCATTTCCACACTCTCGTCCTCCCAGACAAAGCCAGTCCCTCAATTTGTGTTCTTAAATCCATTATCGGCTCATCCAGGAATTTGCTGAAGTGTTTCCCCTCCCTCGTATATCTTTCAAGGCCGCCTCTACTCACTCACTCCTCTTCACTCTATAAATACAGTCAAGTCTGTCCTGTCTGGGAGAAACTCCTTTTGGCCTTTTACCTCTATTTCCTTTTTGTTCTGCGTTAAACAAATCAATAGTTTAGAAAGCTGACAAATAAACATTGTAAGATTCTATTTCATACATACCCATACCCATACACCAAGAGATAGTTTAGAAGTGTACATCCTTGGTATTGTTTGGGTTATCTGTTGCTGAATAACAAAATATTTTGAAATTCATAATTTAGAACAATAGTCATTTGTTATTTCAGTGTTGGGCACACCGCTTAGCTTGGTGGATCCTCTGCTAAACTGTGTTCAATGAAGCCACCAATCGCAGCATTCCACTGGGTTAGAACACCCAGGAGGGGCAGTTTTGCTGGCTGTTGGCCGAGGACCTCTGCTCTCTGCACATGGCTTTTCCTCCTGAATTGGGATTTTAAGAGCATGTCATCTGGGTACCATGATAGATCATTCTGAGTGCACAAAAGCTGAAAGCATTGTATCTAAGGCCCAGATTTGGGTGTTACCCAGCATCA